ATTGAGATATTATAGTCGTTTTAGATTATGAGATCATATTTTAACATATCTTAGTTAGCATGCTAATATTCAGCTCAGATTATTATTAATTTTTTAACGAAAAATAATGAGTTTGGAATATAATGAATAGTCAGATGACCGTTTTGTAACTTTTAATAGTTAAGGGACTTAACAGAGTAACTCTCTATAGTCATTTGACCATTTTATAACTTTTAATAGTCGAGGGACTCAACAAAACAATATCCTAATACTTTACCCTTTAATTAATCACAAATGTTTATTTTATAACTTGTCTCTTTCCGGCCTCGATACATTTTAATATTACAATAAATACCAAAACTATTTATAAATTACAATCAAAGAAAAAACTTCTCATAAATTACAATAATACCTATAATTTTTATAAATTACATGAAAAGGTCTACATTTTTCAAATTACAATAGTATCCAATATTTTTTACAAATTAAAATAAAAAGTATCCAAATTTGCTTATGAATGGCTTCAGGGCTCTTGCACGAGTTACATCTTCTCCCACACCTTGGCAGCCTTGAATTTATTTGTGTTCTCAATCTTGCCTTCTCTTCATTCACTGCCTAGCCAAAGCATAAAAAGGAGAAAAACCTCAAATTTCATTGTATTTATTTATAATACTAGACAACGAAATACGTGTGTTTTAAGTTATCAAAAATGACAAGAGGCATTACTTGGGAAAAGCTATCAGATTTTGGAATTAATGAGGAGCAAGTATGGGACTTTAAGTGTTGGGTGAAGCGGAGATGGTGCCCTGGGTCGATTTCATCAGGGGGTTACAATAACACCTAAAATCCAAACTAGACATTACAACCAAATCCAAGATATCACATATTTTAAAACCAAATTTATTAATTTCTAGAATAAATCAGTAAAATCCACAATACAACTTTTGAAGTGCAATAAAATATTTTAAAAACCACAACATAAATGATTCTATTCAATCAACTTACCTTCGAGCCGAGGGTTTAAGACTTTCCTAGCCCAACTCGACCATATCCTACAAAAATGATCCTCGAATTAGTAATTCTCAATCAAATTCTTAATCCCTTCAAAATAATAATAAAAATTGGTATAACTCCAAAATTAACATCTACATCAAATACTATTAAAATAACATTATTGTTATCTTCCAACTCAGTCAAACTTCTAATGCTTTTCTTATTCTCACCCATATACCACTTATTATAAAAAGTAATGATATATAAATATATTAATCGAAGGCCAAATATAATTTCCCCTTTCATTCTGTCTGTAATCCAAGTAAATAAAACAACTATGTTTGACAACACCCACTTACCAATGCACAAAAAAAAAGAAATACTAGATCCAATGCGATGGAGATGGTGGAGCTAAACTGCTAATCTATGTTGTAAGCAGGTTTCCATAAAAAAGGGCTTTACTGTTCTGATTCAAATGGATGTAGGATATCTGATAGAATCCAACTGAACACTGAAGATTAATTAGCTCAAACTAACAGTAATTATAGTCTGAATTAGCAAGACAACTACATGAAATTGCGGTCATTCTAACCTATTTCAACAGCTCAACTTAACCTTTCAAATCAAATGCATTCCTCAATGGTGCACAATTCAAATTTATCCTACAACATTTGGTCCTTCAATTCTGGCAAACCATAAGGTTATCACTGATGAATGCAAATTTTTTGGCACATCTATTATATCTAGTCATTAACACATTGTCCAATTGCACAACTCTATGGAATAGAGAGAAAATCAAATGGTCCGGCTTTGAAAAAAGATATAAAAGATAAGTCTGATTTGTACACAAAAGACTAAAAGTATACTTTACAGCAAGCTGCTTATAATTTAATCATAAAAATATATATTTTATCAATGATTCCCCCTCTCATTTATAAAGAAATCAATAAGAATTTGGAACTTACAACGAAAAACCCAGAAGCTAATTCAACATACTCGGACAACAAACTATCTCAAAACTCTAATAATGAATGTAAATCATATTCACTGCTCAAGATTGTTAAAAAACCAAGTCCAGATTGAGCAAAACCCATGAAACAGAACATCAAACTTACCAATATCATTAATATCATCGAACATATACATGTATAACATATATATTTTTCATAAATAATAATAATAATAATAATAATAATAATAATAATAATAATTCTTTACCTCACAGTTACACATTTCAGAAGGCACAAAATAATTTTGGTGTGCAGATTAGGATTCACGATATATGGGAACTTGGGTTACAAATTAAAGCAAGCGTCGAATTTAGTAGAGGTGGTCAAGTGAGGTGATGGCTCGATGCTGTTTGTTGAACCACATAGCTACAAGGGCGCTGCAACCGAAGTGAATCACAGGCGGCAAGGACAAGTTAGGGCTATAGGAGGTGTCAACGACGACAACAAATACAACGGTGAAAACGTGGTTGGCGACAGTGATGGAGAAATTCAGGCTTTGAAGAGGATAACAATGATGGAGACGTGGAGCAAGGCAAATGAAGTTTTGCCGGAGAAAAACGAGGGAGAGAATGGGAGGGAGAGCAAGAAACTAAAGAAAATCCAAAATGAAACAAGGGCTATAAAAATATAACATATACATAATGTAATGGCTATATTTTAGGAAGTGACCCTAGATGTTTCTAGGGTTTACGAAATGGAACCTTAATATTATCACGCATTTAAAAAATTCCTTATCGTCCTAATTTGGACACTATATTTCAAAAGCATTAAATTTAGTCTTTAACTAGTATATTTTCTATACAATTGAGTTAACGAACATCCAATTTACAACAATCAAGCCCTTCAATGTAAAATTATCCTATAATTTAACATAATTAATACTCAAACTTTTGACCCCAAAATCAGGATATGACAATTATGTATAATATAAGACAGCGTTGTGTTGCAAACGAATCTTTAAAATTTAATATTTTTTAACATTTTATATTTCATATTTTTTTCTAAATATTTTAAATAATTATTTAATATTTTAGAATAATTATGTATTATTTTATGATTTTTTAAAATAATTGTGTAATCGTTTATACTTAAAAACTATTTTTTATAATTTTACTAATATTTTTTTATTTTTGAATAAATTTCAAAATTTTCAAAAGAATAATTTTATATTTTAATAATAATTTAAGGATTGAATTAATTTTATTTCGTATGGTTAGGACTTTTTGAATATTATATATATATATATTAAAAAATTCTTAAATATATATACACATATAAAATATTTATAGAGCACACAACTTTTAGAAAATTAATAGAGCGGTCGAGATTGGAGTCTAAAATCTAAAGTTATTTTAAATTTTCTCACTAATAAAATTTTGAATTAGTGACAAATCTAATATGACACTAAAAGAATTTTGACAACTTTTTTATGATAATTATTGGTGCTAAACATTGAATGACACAATCATATTATTTCCTTTTTTTAAATCGTCATATAAAAACAAGATATATAACAATGAATGAAAATTAATTGCACTAGACATGTTAAACTTAATTTTTGTGATATGAATAAAATGCCACCTTTTATTTCTTATAAAATAAGGCGAATCAAATTGTCTCAAATAAAACTTATTGGTGACAAATTTGTAATGTCGTTATTTTAAATTGAATTGTCACAATAATAAATCGGCACTAATACTTCTATTTCGTTGGAGACGATTTTAGAACGTCACTAATTTGTCTAAACATCATTGAAAGGTTTCCCACCAGATATTTTAGACGAAAATCAATGACTATTTTAAAATTGTCATAAAAGATATATCATTAATCACTAAATATGACGAAAAGACAGAAACGTCACGTTTATATTATATTTTGTGACATTATTCATAATGTCATATAGAAATTTTGTCATAAATTGATAAATTTGTTGTAGTGTCTTATTATTTTGGATACTGAAGTTTAAAAATTTTCAATTTAATCACTTAATGTTTGAATTATTCATGTTTTAGTCAATTCGGCTTATTTTATTAATATTTTCCTATGATGTGGTATATTTTATTAATATTTTTGTCACACAATATTAGAATAAAAAATAAAAACCCTAATTCACACCCTTAAACCCTAAATCACAAAAGTATATCTTATAAACTCAAACCATAAACCCTAAATCACAACTCCTACTCCACCCTTACCCTCAACGACCTCACCCTCACACCAACAAATGATGGCTTATCAATGTTCTCACCCTCGCATCGGTGAACGATGGCTCATCGACTTGCAACGACCACTGCACTCTCACCTTCGATGGCTTTACCCTAAATTATAATGTCATATTAAAAATAATACTAAAATAATTCATATCATCATAGTGTGATCAAAATATGAATAATTCAAAAGTTGAGTGATTATATTTGAAAATTTTAAATTTTATGTGACCAAAATAAAAGTGAGAAGATAGTTGAATGATGAACGATGTATTTTACCCTAACCTTTTATAGAATTTGACCTAAACAACTTGATCAAAAATAGGGATGGCCAAAATACCCAAACCCGATGGGTTCGGCTTGACCCGACCCTATAAGGGTGGGTTTATTTTTGAATTTCTGAGGTTCAGGGCATGTTATATACTAAGTAGGTTCAGGGCGGGGCAAGGTTTAAGGTGAAAAATCACCGACTCGACCCGACCATGTATAAAATATATAATATATTTAATATTTTAAATATTTTTATTTTTATAATGTTAAAATATATTATTTAATTATTAAAAATATAGTAAATTATTATAAAATATATTATTTAAAATATTTAAAATATTGATATATTTGGGTCGGGTCATGGTCGGGGTTGTAGTCTAAAAATCGGGGCAGGTTTAGGGCGAGAGAAAACCTAAAAATTATCGAGACTGGACGGGGTCGGGTATTAATAAAATATTTTCGGGGCGGGGTCGGGACGCCAAAAAACCCGCCCCATGCCCATCCCTAATCAAAAACCAATACTCTACCTTTAGATACAAAGGAGTGTCGTTAAAAAGAAAAAGCTGAGATATAAGAGCAAATCCCCAGAGTGAGAGGCATTGCAGAAGAGGCTTGAATGCAAGGGCTGAGTACCCCATAAGGTGAACCACATAAATATTTAGGGATCCATAAATGAGAGGGAAAACCTAGAAATGCCAAGCTAACCAAACCAAACATCCATCTCATCCACTGAATTGACATTTCATTCACGTTTGTGGTACTTATCCCCAAGAATTGTGGCCTTTTAGGGTAAAGATAAACAGATTTCCAGCTTTTACGAGGTAAAGTAAACCCTGTGAAGTAATCTTCCAACACACTGAAGTACATGAATCCCACCTGCATGTGTACATCAAATGAATGTTAAACAACATTCATTCATATGATTATGATATAATGTCAAAGTTAGCTCATGACGTTTACTTGAATGAACATTTTAACTTATATTCTTTTTTTTGGAACACTTTAGTTCAACGTTTCAATCTTTAGTCAAAATGACCGATGTTGGATGAAAATCATTAGTTGACTAACAAACAACATATGATACTGACATGACTTTTTCACATGTATTAAATTAATGACGTATCACATTTCATGTCATTCAATGTGAAGATATGACATGTATACCAAAATACTCCAAGAAAAAATATGGGTTAAAGTGATCATTCTAGTAAATGTTGAGGGCTAATTTTGCATTATGCCTATGATTATATAATCAAAAACCTTTGTTTAATTTTATTTAGGGTTCATGTATACTTGCCTTTGTACCCCATGTTGTTTGATTCTCATAAGAGCAAGTGGCTAAAACGTTGGCCTTTTCCAGCAACATCCTTGAAGATTCCCCATCGATTATGGTATTAGGGTTATGATCTTCAACTAGGGTTTTAATGAACTCGGTGGATGGACCAAACCATCTTTTGAGTGTCATTAGGTCTACATTAACAAGTCATTGGTTATGACATTTTTAACTTGTACTTATTATGCACTAAAAAATATAAGAACGAGTGTAGTAGTATAGCATACATGTTGAGTTTTAAAATGCTCTAAACTTTTAGGGATGTTTTTTTAAAATTGGATTCAGGTAGGGATGACAATAAGTCGAGTTAAGTTGAATTTTTGATTGACCCGCCATGAATTTAGGAAGGTTATATCTGACTCAAAATTCAACTCAAATTTTAAAGAAAAATATGCATTTGACCAGACTTTATATATATATAAATGGGTTAGGATCCACTTACGCAATGTAAACTCTTTAGTTTTACATAGATTTAGACCGTTGGTTGAGTGAAAATAGATGACTAAGACTGACTCATTATTTTTTTTCCAGTGAATATCTTCTCATTTCCTACTGTTAATCTCAACCATATATTTTTACTCATCCTAAATCTGAGTAAAACTAAAAGAGTATATATATATATAATTCTTATTTTTATTTGATAAAATAGGACCTAAATGAAAAAAATAGAGAGGTAAATAATATAAGAATTATATCTAAATATATATTAAAATATTATATCATTATCTCGAATTGGGTTGAGTCAAATTTTGTAAGATGTGGGTGTCACAACGTTTCCCTCGAGGATCCGTTAGACTTAAAAAAACTTAATTTGAGGAATGTGATGAAATGTAATTTGGAAAACAATTTGATTTTGGAGTCGCCACCAACCTTTAAGTTAGGTAGGTTGGAAACCTTAAACGATAAAAAATGGTATGTGTTTTACCAAAGATTCATTTTTAAGAATTCGGGAGTCGGATACGTGTGGGGAAGGGTGAGCACCCCCCACAACGCCTAAATATTGGTACCCAAACGATTATGTGTTGTTTAAATATGGTGAATTACAAACTCAAAAAAATATTTAAATTATGATCCTTCTATTTATTCGAATTTTTATAAGTGTTAATTTAGAAAAAAAGACAAATTAAAATAAGGAATGTAATGGATCAAAAAGATTAAATAGCCTAAAAGATATTTTTATAAAATAAAAATATTATAATTATTTTTATAAGAGAAAATGCGTCATTTTGTACGAACAATCCTTGAAAATGCACTTCTTTTATAGTTAGGAGACTTTTTCATAGATTCCCCTCACAAAATACGTTATTTCATAATTTTTTGAAAAGATAAAATAAAATAAAACAAAATAACAGTGAAAATAGGTGAAAAATAATCAAATGCGGAACAAAGAAAATTATCGAAATAAAAAACATTTGTGCGAAAAATCCTCGAAAAGATACATTCCCTTATAGTCGGGAGATGTCTTCGTAGATTTCCCGCACAATGAAATTTTCTCATATTAACAATTAAAAAACTATGGTAATTTATAAAACAAGGTGGAAACAACAATACTAATGGGCACATAAATAAGGGTCAAAATATGCAAAAAATAGCAATTCAAAATTAAAAGAAAGAAAATTATCAAACATGGATTAAATCGAATACAAATATAAATGAGCAATTGAACATCAAATAAAAATTTATCTTAGGACTAAGTCGATAGAAAAAAACATGTTCAATTTGAATAAGATAAATAAATATCTACAACTAACAAAGGACCAAAATATAAGTCAACCAAAAATTAAAGCATGAATCATAAATATTAACAAATATAATAATGTGCTAACTAGGGTTAAAATAGAAAGATATAAAAGACTAAGCTCAAAATAAGAAACTTGAAAATATACGAGTAAATGTTGAAAATTACTATTAAATACAAAGACATTTAAATAAATACATATATATGGTATATACACATAAAATACATGAGAATATGAAGCATACACATATATTAAAATACAATGACGAAAATGCAACAAATAAGAAAAGCAGTACCAAATCAGGAATAAATAGTGACTAAAATAAAATAACAAAAAATAAAGTGTCAAAATTAGAAACAAATAAAACATGAAATATGATATATCAATGACTAAATTGAAATTAATAAAACTAAAGTGCTAAAAATAAAATAAATAAAACGTAGGGATACAGGGACTAAAATGTAAAACACGAATAAAAGTACAGGGACTAAACAGAAATTAAACCAAAAATACATAACATGCATCAAAAATGGGTAAACTATAAAAACGGTCCCTGTTGGTTACTATTTAACAAAACACGCCAAACTTAGGGGGATTTAAAGTGTAATTTTCCCCTAAAGTTTTCTATAAATATCAATATTTTCTCTTTTTTATTTTCATTTCATTTTTTTTAAATATTTTAGAGAGAGAGGGTCTTCCCTATCTCTAGAAAATTGGTGGGTGGTGGGTTACCTTCGTCGGCCGTCGTGCCGGCCGTCGAAGTTGCAGGTGGCCGATGATCACCAAATTACATCGAAAGGTCCATCTCGACCTCCCTGTCTTGGATCTAAGGTCGGTTTTATGAGAATAGGCCCCAAACTCCACAAATCAAGTCAAAACCTTTCAACTTTCACCTCTTCAATTCGTCGTCGTCCGCCGTCTGATCGTCCTGATTTTTTATTATGTTATTTTTGGTGGCTTTGAGAAGCTTTTCACCGTTCGGATCGGAGATCCCTATTGTCGGTGAGGTGCCCAACCGAATGTAAGAACCCATTTTTTCTCTCTTGTTTTTTCTTTGTTTCGAAATAGGAAAAAATGAAAAGAAATTGGTTTGAACTTTTTTTTATTGCTGATAATTCTTTTTTACATTGATTGGTTGATTGGGTTATATACCCATTACAAATTATACAAAAAATTTAGTGATGAAATGATCGGGTATGGTGCTGACGGGGAGTGGTGGACGTGTTGGAGCAGGACTAGCAGGGTATGGCACGATTATGGCAGCAACATGGTGTTGGCAGTGGGCCGGTTCGGGTCGGGTCTGGGTATTGGGCTTGAATCGGATTGAGTCGGATCCCAGGTCTGCTGTAATATGGGTTTGGGTTGAGGATTGCTTGTAGTTGGGCTGTAAAAATAATATAATTAAAATAATAATAATTATTATTAATAATAAATAATATTTTTTCGACCAAGAAAAAAGGGTGTCTACAGCTGCCCCTCTTTGCACATTCTTGTGTTAACAAGAATAAGACAAAGATGAAAAAGACAACCAGTTTTTGTCCCGTTTTTTTAGAAATTTGATATGTTTGTTGTTGGGGACGATGTTGTTCATATGTGATGAAGAGTTATGGTCGTCTAAGGGTGATACGGCTTCTACATAATGAGGAGATCTGGTCGGTGGGTGACAATGTTCCTACGTGATGAGGACGTCTTGGCCATCTTTAGGGATGGTGATAACACAGTTCCTGCACGATGAAGACGATTGGTTATATAGGGGTAACACGGCTCCTACGTGATGAGGATGATAAGCCATATTTAGGGATGATAACACAGTTCCTACGTGATGAGAACGGCTGGTTATCTGAGGTTGACACGACACCTATGTGATGAGGAGATCTGGTCGGTGGATGGCATGATTCTTACGCGATGAGGATTACATGCCATATTTAGGAATGATGATGACATTGTTCCTACGCGGTGAGGATGACTGGTTATCTGAGGTTGACGCGGCTCCTACGTGATGAGGAGGTCTGGGCGATGGATGGCACGGTTCCTACGCGATGAGGATGACAGGCCATCTTTAGGGATTTGTTTCAAGGGAAACAGACTCAAAGATGATGTTTCAAGAGAAACTGTATCAAGAGAGACAAAATTTGTTTTAAGGGAAACTATCTCACAGATGGTGTTTCAAGAGAAATTGTCTCAAGAGAGATAAAATTTTGTTTTAAGAGAAAAAGACTCAAAGATTTGTGTTTCAAGGGAAACAATTTCAAATTTTGTATTTTGAGGAAAAATTGTCTCAAGCGAAATGAATATGTTTTGAAAGAAGCAATCTCAAGTGAGATTAATTTTGTTTCAAGTAAAACAAACTTTGAAATTGGTATTCTGAAAGAAACTATCTCAAGTGAGATGAAATTTGCTTCGAGTAAAAACAATATCTACTGTTCGTGTCTTAAGGAAAACTACCCCAAGTGAGACAAAGTTTGTTTTGAGAAAAACAATCTCAAAGGAGATCAACTTTGCTTCAAGTGAAGCAAATTCGATATTTGTATCTCAAAGGAAAAATGTCTCAAGCGAGACAAATTTTGTTTTGAGAGAAACAATCTCAAAGATGACAGATAGTCTACTTGTTCCTGCATGTGAAGGAAAGACCTTCATAAGATCTAATCGTTCACTTTAGGATTTTGAATCTCCAAAGATACCCCAACATTCGATGTTTCTTGCTTCAGCACTGATTTTAAGCATGAGATTTGTGTCTGAGAGCCACATGTCAACTACCAAGATCCACTCCAGAGAGGTTGTCTTGTTTGAAAAGAGTTTTTCTTCTTCTTTTATTTTCAAAGTCTGAAAATATCAATTAAAATGATGTTGAAAAATGTTTAATAAAAGATTTTGAAAATATTGCCCCTTTCTAGGTTTTACAATTGAGGTAAATCATAAAACAAGAGTTCATTGGATATCAAAGAATTAATTACACTTTTAATCCTTTAATAAACTATAGACATTTGACAAGTGTCAAGATTAATGCTATCTTTGAGGTATGGTTAAGTAAGGAAAGGATAATGTGTCTCGGGATGTTATTTTTGTCAAAGGTAAGGTGTTCTTATTTCTTTGATGTTCACTGGTCTGATGGAGTAGCTTGTATGCTCCTCTACTGGCAGTGTTCTCCAATTCTCAGCTCTCATGATCACATTCGGGTTGTGCGATGTCTTATCAAGGGATTTGTGGGATCGCCTCCTATGAAATAGTTGTACAGTCTTAATATTCGAGCCATCTTTTCAAGTTTTCAACTCGAATCCTCCTTTGGTTCAAGATGTTATTCAGAATTTACGTCTTAAACCCCCTTTGTTATTTTTCTCTATCATGCATTAAAGATTTTATAAAACTTTTTTTTGAATTAAAGATTAATCCTGATGGGCGGGATGATACCTGAAGATAGTATATTCTATTTAAAAATCCATGTATGATTAGAAATGACTTTTAAGGCACGCAATGTAGGCCATGGTTCAAGGTTATTAAAGAAATGGATAGATAGGCCCAAACAAGTGTTTAAGGGTTATTGAACCAAGGATTAATTCATTCTGATGCCTTCAATATTGTCTTGTTCCATTTGAATATGCTCGTATGTGTTCTTTATGATCTTCTGGTGAATTGATCTTAGAATCGGTCATACTTGATCAATCTTATGGTTTAAAGCTCGATGCGTCATTTGACTCAAGGGACTCTTTGCATGTGCTTCTTATCCTCTTTTTTCTTCGTTTTTCTTTATTTTTTTCTTTGTTTTTCTTGGCTCATTTTCTCTTTGCTTCTTTTCTCTTTATTTTGATTGGATCTTTGCATATTGCATTTGGTTCACCTTTCAGTATCTCATCTGAATTAATGGTCTTCACCCATGCGAGTAGATTTCCTCCACCTTGCCCCCTAGTGTGGAGGGTGATCATTGGTTAGGGTTAAATCAGAAGAAAACATAATTTAGGCTCAAAGGGGACACAAGGGATATATTTTCTCCTTTTATGAGGGGATAAGAAATAATGTCGTTCATCATTTCATACATGGAAGTCCTTAGAGAAGAGGTATCCCCAGGGGGATAGATATTCAAGATTAATTTTTATTCACATGAAAACAATGTAATTAATGCATGACAGAATTTATTTTGAATTAATCTCCTTTTTCTGCTTCTTGCTCTCAACATGTCGCAATTGCTCAGGTTCATCCTCAGAAAATTGCTTCGAGATGCCCCACATAGTTTTCTTGTAGGAAGTTTTACGTTCAAGTGGACGTTTTGTACTCAATGCCTTTAAGTTTTATTGGTAGAAAAATGTCGGGTTTGCATCTAAGAAGACGATGGTGTGACTTTATTGGCTCAAGGAAAGGTAAGTGTATGACTTTTGTGTCTCAAAAAGATAAAGGCAATGTTTCAAAGTCTCAAGGAAAGCTAATGTCAAAATTTGGTCTTTTGTTAGTGACCATGAATTATTTCAGGTAAAGAATCGAGAGATTTTATTTTTGGTTTTGAATGGTATAAAAATGGTATAATCTTGTCATATGTCAAAAATAAATAATTCTTGAAGAACTAAAAGAATATATAATTCATTCGATATTCGAAGAACTACAAGATTAAAATTCATTCAATTAGTCAACCTTAGAAGGGAGCATAAGTTCAATCATTAAAAGATTAAACAAATATGAAAGGCAGAACAAAAACAAGTTCAAACAAAACAATGCTCTCAATGCAAATCGTATATGCAATTCCACCATCCTTCTTCGATTATCCATGCCCCTGAATCCATCAGGTTCTGGATCTTGCACTTCAGTGCCTTACAATTTTCAGTGGAATGCCTGGAGTTTCCTATGTGGTAACTGCACACGGCTTCAACATCATAGACCTCAGAATATGGGGACTCTTTTAGCTTGGATCATCTTGGAAGGCTCATTCCTACAACCAGCTGAATAGGCTCCCACTGTACTGATTTCAGATTCTTCCTTTAATGGCTCAAATTTTGCTTCTATTCTCAATGTGATGTCACGTGATTAGGACCACTTTATCGAATCCTGCACAGATTAATTTCATGATTTTATGAATGATGTATACGAAAATGCTTGAATGAATGCAGTGCAGAATGTAAATGCAATAAATATCAATTTCTTAAAGTAATCATTATTTAGAAAGAGTTTCATTCATCCAAAAGAGTTTTCATCTTTACAAGAGAGATCAATCTAGGAATGTGGTTTGGCCCATTTATTTAGCTCCATGATCTCATTGATGATCTCAATAACTTTCTCTTCTTTCCAGAAATGACTCTGAATCCAGACGGTGAGTAGTTAGAGCAACCTCTGAATCGTCTTCCCTCTAATTTACAACAATTATTTAAGGATCGGTAGGTCTCTGCCAAGACAACCGGTGCAAGATTTATATATCTCTCCAATATGTCAAAGAAATCTACAACAACAACCTTCACATGGAACAAAGTCTTTGAGAATATCACTAGACCATATATAGCTAGAGCAAAGGTGTATAATCTCTTATCTTCATCTATGTGCTCGAGTATCACCTTCTTGAGACAATGCCACAGAAAACATTCGCTTTCTCCCTTTTGTAGATGTGCTCTACTCTACATTTTTCACCTATACTAGTAATCTTCACAAGTTTGCTTTAGAAAGATTGAACTTTTAGAAGTCTAGAATGAATTTTATCCATTGGAGGCTTTCAAAGTTAAATAGAGTAGTATACTCTTCTATTGTTGGTGTTAAATCTTTTCAATTGAAAGTGAAGCAGCTGTAAGTGGGATTCCATGATCGGACTAGAGCATTAAGCAATGGTTCCTCTTTCTTTACATAGAGGAGATAGGCCATGTCACCATATTTCTTGTGGAACTCTCTTTGGTTGCTACTCTTCAGCTTTCCCAAACCTCTATAAGCTCTTGTAGATCACTCTTCTTGAAATTGACATTGAAATTTGTGGACATCTGTAATACATAATCCCCAAGCAAACTATCTCCTTTTACTCTTTCTGTTTCTTCAGACCAAGTTCGAAATGCCGTATTGGGTTCTTCCTTGTTATGAAAACTCTTTTCCATCTTAATGATCGCTCTTCTATTGTGATGATTACTTGGTTAATCAACATCTTTCTTTTATTTATGATGATCATGCAAATGCCAAATAATAAACAATCAAACATAGAAAATGTCTTAGTATAAAAAAATTCAAATGTCAAGCAGATATTATTGAAAGGTAATTGGAACACCTACCCACATGCTTAGTTCGAAATTAAAACCTAACCACGTGTTTTTCTAGTTCACGTGCTTTATTCGGAAAATAAAATAATGCGGGTAAAGAGAAGAGGTTTAGTGTTGTTTCTCCTTTATGTACAATTATTTTAGGTGCCTACTGATGAACAAAGGTTCAGCATGAATTTTTATCAGGGTGGATTATTAGGGCTCACTATATGCGATATTGAGTTCTAATAAAAAAGAACTTGAATTGTCCTTGTTGGCATCTCCTTAGGCTGTCAAACCCTCAATCCTGGCCCATTACAGGCTCATGCGGATCTAGTTCAATTCGAGAGGATATATTCCCTTATGTCCATGCGGAGAAACAATTTATCCCACGTAGACATAAGGTATATGAACCCCAAAGGTTACTTGCTAAAACCTGGGCGGAGAAATAAATTATCTCACGTAGGCTAAGCTTTCACCTCAACTTAAAATGGACAAAGCTCGTAAGTGAGCTTATGGTATGTAAATGTATGTATTGTGTGTGAGGAGAAACTCACAAACCTTTGAAAACACAACAAAAGACAACACTTTCACCAGTTCCAAAAATCTATTTAAATCTGAATACCACTGAAATAAAAAATTGATTAGTTAAAAGTAGAATAATGCATAATATGTCGAAACTCAAAATAAATAAAAGGATCGTAAATTAAATACAATTTAAGCTTGTAATTCCCAAACACAAAACAACGTATAATCATTCATAGCCTGACTGTCGAATTCCCCAGTAGAGTCGTCAAGCTGTCATAACGTCTCCCTCGGGGATCCGTTAGACTTAAAAAACTTAATTTGGGGAATGTGATGAAATGTAATTTGGAAAACAATTTGATTTTGGATTCACCACCAACCTTTAAGTTAGGTAGGTTGGAAACCTTAAACAACAAAAAATGGTTTGCGTTTTACCAAAGATTCATTTTTAAGAATTCGGGAGTCGGTTACGTGTGGGGAAGGGTGAGCACCCCCACGACGCCCAAATTTTGGTACCCAAGCGATTATGTGTTGTTTAAATATGGGGAATTACAAACTCGAAAAAATATATTTAAATTATGATCCTTCTATTTATTCGAATTTTTATAAGTGTTAATTTGAAAAAAAAAAGACAAATTAAAATAAGGAATGTAATGGATCAAAAAGATTATATAGCCCAACAGATATATTTATAGAATAAAAATATTATAATAATTTTTATAAGAGAAAATGCATCATTTTGTACGAACAATCTTTGAAAATGCACTTCCTTTTTAGTTATGAGACTTTTTCATAGATTCCCCTCACAAAAGACGTTATTTCATAATTTTTCGAAAAGATAAAATAAAATAAAACAGAATAACAGTGAAAAGAGGTGAAAAATAATCATACATGGAACAAAGAAAATTATCGAAATAAAAAACATTCGTGCGAAAAATCCTCGAAAAGATACCTTCCTTTATAGTCGGGAGATGTCTTCGTAGATTTCCCATGGAATGAAATTTTCTCATATTAACAATTAAAAAAACCATGGTAATTTATAAAACAAGGTGGAAACAACAATACCGATGGGCACATAAATAAGGGTCAAAATATGCAAAAATAACAATTCAAAATTAAAAGAAAGAAAACTATCAAACATGGATCAAATCGAATACAAATATAAATGTGCGATCGAACATCAAATAAAAATTTATCTTAGGACTAAGTTGATAAAAAAACATGTTCAATTTGAAGAAGATAAATAAATATCTACAACTAACAAAGGACCAAAATATAAGTCAACCAAAAATAAAAGAACGAATCATAAATATTAACAAATTCAATAATGTGCTAACTAGGGCTAAAATAGAAAGATATAAAATACTAAACTCAAAATAAGAAACTTGGAAATATATGAGTAAATGTTGAAAATTACTATTAAATACAAAGACATTTAAATAAATACATACATATGGTACATACAAATAAAATACATGAGAATATGAAGCATACACATATATTAAAATACAAGGACCAAAATACAACAAATAAGAAAAGTAATACCAAATCAGGAATAAATAGTGACTAAAATAAAATAACAGAAAATAAAGTGTCAAAATTATAAATAAATAAAATATGACATATCAGTGACTAAATTGAAATTAATAAAACTAAAGTGCTAAAAATAAATAAAAACCTAGGGACACATGGACTAAAATGTAAAACACGTCTAAAAGTACAGGGACTAAACAGAAATTAAACCAAAAATACATAACATGCATCAAAAATGGGTAAACTACAAAAATGGCCCTATAGGTTACCATTTTACAAAACACGCCAAACTTAGGGGGATTTAAAATGCAATTTCCCCCTAAAGTTTTATATAAATATCAACCTTTTCTTTTTCTTTTGTTCATTTCATTTTTTTTAAAAAAATTAGAGCTCTCTCTATAAAAAATCGATGAGTGGCCAATGGGTTACCTTCGTCAGCTGTTGCCGCGCCGCCATCATCGTCGATGGCCGATGGCCACCAAATTACACCAAGAGGTTCATCTCGGCCTCCCTGTCTTGGATCTAGGGTCGGTTTTTACGAGAAACGACCCCAAACTCCACAAATCGAACGAGAACATTCAATTTTTGCCTCTTCGATCCGTCGCCTTTCACAGTCCGATTATCCTTTTTTTCATTATGTTGTTCGTTGTAGCCTTGAGCAGTTTTTCATCGTTCGGATCGTCGATCGGAGATCCCTATCGCCGACGAGGTGCTCAACTAAATGTAAGAACCCTTTTTTCTCTCTTTTTTTCTTTGTTTCGAAATAGGAAAAAATTAAAAAGAAATTGGTTTAAACTTTTTTTATTGATGTTAATTCTTTTTTACATTGCTTGGTTGATTGGATTATATACCCATTACAAATTATACAAAATATTTGGTGATGAAATGATCAGGTATGGTGTTGGAAGGGAGTAGTGGACTTGTTGGAGCAGGAGCAGCAAGGTATGGCACGGTTATGGCAGCAGCATGGTGTTAGCAGTGGGCCGGTTCGGGTTGGATCCCGATTCTTCTGTAATCTGGGTTTGGGTTGGGGCTTGCTTGTAGTTGGGCTGCAAAAACAATATAATAATAATAATAATAATAATAATAATAATAATAATAATAATAATAAATAAATAAATAAATAAATAAATAATATGTTTTCGACCCGGACAAAAACGGGTGTATGCAGTAGGGTCATATCGAAACTATTTGATAAAGATATGCACCACCCTAATATATTTACTAAAATCATGTAATTCTAATTTTATATCTACACTATATATATTTTAATTATTTTTTATGATTTTATAAAAAGTTATAACATATATTTAAATTTTATAGATATTTTTCCTATATAGTTTAATTAAAAATTTCTTATTTTTATAAGATTTTTCCTAATATATTTCTTATTTTTTATTTTCCCTATATAATTTAATTGAAATTTCTTAATTTTAACTAATCTCGACTCGAATTTGAACAAAAATAATAATAAATTTTTCGGGTCACATTCCGATCATGAACATTTTCGATTCATAAGTAGTAATTTAACTAACCTTGCTTACTGAAATTGCCCAATAAAGCTTCCCTCTTTATATAATAGTTTGTTCCCGACATAATCAGTCCTCCGACTCCATCTAAACTGGACCAATATATCTATAGACACTCATTTTCGCCCGGAGTTATTTTTTTATTTATTTTTATTATATATACATATATATATATATGTGTATATATATATATATAGTGTTTTTTGACAAAATATAATATGTAATTTTCAGAAAATGATTTTTGAAAATTTATATATTATATAGCTTTTGAAAATATTTTTAAAATATAATATATAGTTTTGAAAACATTTTGAAAACATTTATATATTGTATAGTTTTTAAAACATTTTGAAAACTTATATAGTATATAGTTTTTAAAACTTTTTTGAAAAATTATATAATATATAGTTTTAAAACATTTTTAAAAAATTATATAATATATAGTTTTTAAAAAACATTTTTTTGAAAACTTATATAATATTTTTAAAAACATTTTGAAAACTATATAATATATAGTTTTGAAAACTTTTTTAAAATATAATATATAGTTTAAGAAAAAATATTTTCGAAATATATATAATATATAATTTATATTATTATTATTATTTATTTTCTTTTTATTATTTTCTTTTTTATGTTTTTTTAGGGTCCAATAACAGTCCATATGTTGGTCTAAAGGAATGGGCCTGAACCAGCCCGAATATAATAGGGTTTTCAGTATGTGTAAAGGTGTCACACGAATCAACGGAAAAAAGAAGGAAAGGGAATAGGTCAATTGGACCATTGGATCTGACCCAATCCAACAGCCAGAAAGCAATCCCAACATTCAGAGGCGATATCAAGAGTTAAGAGCGTCGCACGTCGCCGGTCATACATGCAACAAGATCGGACCACAAATCGGAACAAACAAGTACATACAACAACCGACTACCCCGGAATATCTGGGATTGACCCCATAATTGTCGGAAACAAACCCTCACCGGGGCTTATAAATATAGAACACCGAATCCACAGAGGAGGAACAAGGATCAACACGACGGTACCAACAGAAAAATAATTAAAAAATCACACAGCCAACACAACACCATCACGAGACCATCATCAAAAATCAAGACAGCAAACAGACTGCCAACAACAGTGAACATCGAACCCACATCAAGCACAAACAAACCAAACAAAATACAACACAAGCAAGCAAAATATACAACATAAGAGAACCCAAACCCCGAAGCATCCCAGGTGAAAAAGATGAGAAAACCAAGCGGTTTTTCTTAGATCTGTGTTGTTTGGAGCTTTTTTTAGGGGAATCGGGCTTTGGATTAGTGTTGAGGGGGTAGAGGAGAGCGTTTTGTGGGAGTTTTGATGGCGCGACAGAGCACTCGACCAGGGAGGGGTTTGTTAGAGAAAGTTAAGAGCATTCGTATAGAGGGGGAAGGTTATTGTGAAAGAGATGGGAAAATGAATGGGTGTGGGCATTTTTTGCGATTATATATTAACCCACTTTGCTGACCCTTCTTTGACCGTAACCAACTCCTGAACCCGACACGTAACCGACACTGTCACGTTTATGGTATAACGCAGATCAGGTAAGATGGTGTCCGATCCACCTAAATATTTTTAAAATGATCGGTGGTGACTCTAACCCATTATTTCAAGTCGAAGCCCAATTTCGGAGCCCAACCGAAAGATGGCCACGACAGCTTGGTGACTCCGCTGGGGACAGGTAAGTGAGTCAGGCCATAATTAATTTTCGGTTGTCTTTTATGCGAAAATTATAAATTTTAATTTTAATTTATTTATTTGATTCCAATTATTTACATTTGATTATTTTTCAAATAAATAGTTGTACTGACGTTTTTCTCAATGATTTCAGATTTTCAAAATTTTTATCTCAAGCTCTATACTCGAGCTCCAAACCCTATTTAAGTGGGGGTAAAAGCGACGCCTTCGTGGGAATTTATTCTCTGTATGGGCCTAGCAAGTAACCTTCGGGATTCATATACCTTATGTCTTCGTGTGAATTTATTCTCTGTATGGGCATAAGGGAATGTTTCCTCTCGAGTTTAACTTAGTCCACACAAGCTTGTAATGGGCTTAGGACTAAGGGTCTAGCAAGCCCAAGGGGGCACCAGTAAAGAGAACTCGGGTACCTTTTTTTAGAACCTAAACCGGGAGACTACAGAGAATTAGAGCCCACCCCAAAACCTCATTCCAAACCCTAGGCTGCTTTGTTTCTTGCTTTACTTTCTGTTCAAAGCATGCGAACTAGACAAATATACGGTTAGGATTTGTTTGAAATTAGCATGTGGGATAGAGATCATGTCCAGGTAGGAATAATAAGCATGTGGTGTAGGATTTTTTATTTTATTATTGTTTTGATTTACCTCACTAACTTTTTTTTGTCCTCTTTTTTTTTGTTTTCATCATTCGCATCATTTAAAAGAGGTGTTGTTCCACCAAAAACGTGTTTGTTGAACTTGAATAATATGTATTAAAGGATAAAGGGGTTATAATACAAGAGATGAAAAGCTCAGAAGTCCAGTTATGGTCATAAAGGATTCAGAACAGATCGGGATTACACCGAGCACGCCAAAAGTCAACTTTTTAAGTTAGCAAGATTTGGAGGGGCAAAGGTTGCTGACCTAGAGAATCCCTTCAAAACAACAAGAACAAGATGGCGAAACCCTAGCCAAGCTGGAGACCATTATTGACGAATTCAAGAAGCAAGCTTCGGATAGTTCCCATCGATGGAGGGCCCCAGTGGCACTTTTGTTAGGAACATGCTCAGCAGAGGGTGAAAGCCGGAGATGCAGTCATTCGAGATTTTTTTTGGGCAAATAGCTCGTCACTTGCACAGTTTAGCCAGAGGGCCGAAACAGCTCGACAGGGTATTCAACCGGTGACAGAAAGGACGGAAAATGAATCAACTTGTCAGAGGCTGTTCGGGATCTATACCATCAAAAAGTGTTTTGTCTCTTCAGACATAACACTTTTGTCCCCAATAAGGATTATTTATAATAACAGACACATTTTTTTGATCAATGCCTCGAACATTGCATGCATTATGCATTTAAACATATTTCACATTTTGTTATTTTCATTTCTTTACATTCATATTATTTTTCTCTTTTTATTCACATGTCTCATCAAAAGTGAGAACGTTTCGATCATATTCTCATGACTTACAAGGAACTTTACCAACAACTTTTTGACACTCACGTAGTGTCGCCATATCCGATGGAACCTATGAAGCCCCATACTTCAAGTGGTATAATGAGAGTGCTCATTGTGAATATCATGGAGGTGTCCTAAGGCATACTATTGAGACTATTACGTATTCAAGAGAGTAGTGCAGAATATGCGTAACCAGAACTGGATTGACTTCAACAACTTGGGGGCATCCAAGTGAAAAAGATCATTTCATCATTTGAGACATCTTTGTTTGAATCTTTTTTTCATTTTTTTATTTTCTCAAGTTTTTGTAAAGACATTTGAATAAATTTATGTTGCTTTAAAGATGGCAAGCTATGAATCACATTTGTAAAATTGCAATTCTTCGAATATCAACTGAGTTAAAAACTCTGCAAATGCTTCAGATTTACAAATCTTTGACAAGGTAACATGATCAAAAACTGATAAAACAATGACTTTTTACCTTACCTAGAAGATACACTCAAGCACTGTGTAAATAACCAATGTAGCCTTCTCCCTTCATAAGGCTTGGTATTTAGATGTGCATAGGCACGGATAACATGGGGCATTCTTTGCATATGACGATTACTATACTTTTTATTTAAGACGTTCAGTGATGATAATGATCTTCACAGATAGAATAGTCGAGTAGGTGAATCTAGTTCAGGTCAGTTGCTTGGAAATTGAACTCTAAAGACGAGATTTCTTGACTTTTAACAACACCTAGACTATAACATGTTCTTCTTGACAAACTTAAGAAGTTGGATCCGTATACCCATATTATACTATTATATATATAATAAAACTTGAGTTGTCCCTCTAGAGCAATTGGTTAAACGCCCCAACTTTATGGATAATATTCAGCTAGCCTGATAAAGGTGATTATACTATACAATAAAGCTTGAGTTGTCCTTCTAAGGTAATTGGTTAAACGCCCCGGCTTTATGGATAAGATTCAACTAACCTAATAAAGGTATTTACATATTAAGCTGTCCCTCTAGAGAAATTGGTTAAACGCCCCGGCTTTATGGATTCTGCTAGCCAGACAATGGCAAATATAAATAAGGAGTTTCGGTAAAAATGGACTAAGGGAGTTAAGGAACACATGTTATAGTCAACTTCACATGAGCACTCAAGAATATCATTTCTGCGCTACCTTTGTTAGATGAGCTCACAAAACTTGAACAAATGGAAGATTTCAGAGAACCGAAATCAAAGGTCTAGTAATTGATAATGCTAGTTGCATCATTTTATCTGCATCCAATTAAAATGTCAAGCCAAAGAAAAGCATGTTGCAATAACCGAAAAATGACCTTTTTATGGTTGAAACCTTAGGTCAACCTAAAGTCAACTCATCCATTTGAACATTTGTCAAAGAGTTATAACTCTGAAAGCATTAAAAAGAGCTATTGATTCCTTTGATATACCTTGAACTCATGTTTACAATTTGATTCAATTGCGAACAATATTTTATAGAATTTTTATCATTTTCCCTCCTAAAACAAGAAAAAAGGGAAAAAAACATTTTCAAACAGGACAATATCAAAATATGAAAGGTCTGTAAATCCAAAGCTCAAGAAGCAAATGGGGAACGATCAATTCCAAGGACCAGATTGGCAGACAAAACATGGGAATCCAATCCAATAGATAAAACATAACTCATGCATCTTAGGCATACTTAAGAGCATCACATTTATTTTTTTCACATACATGATTTTTTACAGCTTTTAGAGTCAAGTTTCAACTTCAAGATGAAGGATACTCGATTCGAAAGCACCTTTAAAAATTGATGTTGGTTGCTTAACTCAGCAGCAAGCAGCTATACCTCAACCAATTCGACAGATTGAAAGATCGATAATCAACTTCAGATGAGTTCGAGAAGTGGTTCAGAAAGTGTCCAATTTAGATTA